GAGAGAGAGAGAGAGAGAGAGAGAGAGAGAGAGAGAGAGAGAGAGAGAGATACACACACAGAGACCACCACCCCGCCAAACGAAGCCTTCTATTTCAACCCGCGTCCTTATATTGTGTGATGAGAAAGCTACTGCTCTGTTTGTGTAGCAGTTGTGCAGAGCTGGCTCTGACGCGGCGCTGCAAGCTATTATAGGTGCCTGCTGTTATGCTGCTGCCCAAGTGCTGCCATAAAAAAAATATGAAGGGCCGTTTTGTTTTTGGAAAGAAATCAGGAAATCAAAGACAGAACCTCCCCACGTTGGAGACGGGACTCCGTGGGATTAAATTGTTTCCGCACACACGCCATGATCACAGCAAACACCCAGAGGCAAGCAGTCTTGCTTGCTCCGTGGGGCTGGTTCTCCTGCCGACCCCGATTGAAGATAGGTGTCGGGATCGACAGACCCGCCGAGGTTATCTAGGAGTTGCGTTCATGATGACATCAGCGGTAGGAATACCCACCACCCCAGGGCACAAAAAGCGAGCCCAGGTATGTTGTCATGGCGAGGCTGCCTGCGTGACGTAATGTGTGTAAGCTGCAGGTGCTGTGCCGCTGTCTTGCGCGGTGGGGCCTGCTGCTGCAATACTGCTGTGCTATCTCTCAACTGTGTGTGTAAGTGTGTGTTGTGTGTGCGGGCGTGTGTGTGTGTATTCTAATTGCGCCGCGGTCGGCGAACGCTTTTTTATTTTTTCGTTTTGGATACCGAACGCTTTTTCGGGTCACAGGAGGCTCTCAATCGAGCCCTACTTTTTGGCGTCGTCGGAGACTAGAAACTTGATGATGCACACCGAACAAATGCCCGACGAGGGATGCAGCGTGCTCCAAGAAACAACCCTGAAATTCCACCGATTGAAGGGCAATCCAGCATCCACAGTACGCCACACATTCAAATCCAGACTGCTCTCACCTGTAGATACAACAATCCCGCCCGGTTGTTGAGCGCAGTGGCCATACTCGAATGTTCGCGTCCAAAGGCTTTCTCGAGGATAGTTTGTGCCCTAGCGTATAACTGCTCCGCGTCGTCGTACTTGCCCTGCGCGTGACCAAACCGGCGAAACACGGCCACAAAGTTACGGCGTACGTTAATTAACCTTGAGTGTGGTTGCCACGTTGGGATGTTAGGGTCCAAAGGGCTTTCTCCACGACAACACGTGTCCTATTGTACAACGGCCGCGCCTCGTCGTACTTGCCTTATCAAGAAATTCTGGGCCCTGGTGCTAGCTGAAACCTCATCAACAATCCACGTCGCTCTACAACACACAGTGTTGATGAAACAAGAACACACGGCTGCACTAAAATTGAAACGGGCACCCACAACATTTTTCTACAAGTAATATTCAACTTCTCACCTGAGCTTTCAACAACACCGCCCGGTTGTTGAGCGCTGTCGCCACTACTGGGTGCTCAGGACCTAAGGCTCTTTCCCAGATCTCCGTAGCCCGCTCATTCAGGGGCAAGGCTTCGGCATGGTTGCCCTGTTGAGAAATTTTGGGCCCAGCTGTAGTCTGTACAACGCATGGCGGTGTTGTTGTGAATAGACACCCACAATAATCACCTCGGGAATTGTTTCGACTCTCACCTGCACGCTCAACAACTCCGCCCGGTTGTTGAGCGTCTGGGCAACATCCGGATGCTCCCGACCCAGAGCCTTCTCTCGTAGGGCCTGTGATTTCTTGTACATTGATTCGGCCTCTTCAAACTTGCCCTGTGTAACAAAACGAGGGTTGGTGTAACGTAGGGGTGGTGTGAGGCAGTGTGGTCAACGAAATATGCGAACGAATGACCAACGTATGCACACCCTACGAAACTTCTCGCACACTTCATTCGACTCTCGCCTGAATCTGCAACAATCCCGCTCGGTTGTTGATCGCTGTTGCCACGGTTGGGTGCTCAGGACCTAAGGCTCTCTCCCAAATGTCGGTCGCCCGTGCGTTCAGGTGTGCGGCTTCGGCGTATTTGCCCTGCAAAGGAATTTCGGGCAAAAGAGTGTTTGCAGGAACCCTACAACACACCCTCGAGCGGATCGTCAACGAAAACATCCGGGGAATTTCCTTCGGCTCTCACCTGTGTTCTCCTTAACTCCGCCCGGTTGTTGAGAGATATGGCAACGTTAGGATGATCCCGCCCTAAGGACTCCTCGAAGATCTCTTGCGCCTTCTTGTACAACGCTTCCGCTTCTGAGTATTCGCCCTGCATAGCAAGCACCGTAGCAATTGGTTCAAGACAGAGGCCGACCCAGAGGCCAAACAAATAACCTAACCCTTACGAATTTTGCGTGAAAACTGGTCGACTCTTACCTTGCTCTCCAACAACCCCGCCCGGTTGTTGAGGCTTGTAGCCAGGTGTGGGTGACTAGGCCCGAGGGTCCTCTTATCAATCTCGATCACTCGTAGATACAGCGGATCTGCCTCTTCGTACTTCCCCTGCGTAGCAAGTAGTGGCTTGATGTTAGGCATTTGGTGCACCTAGAATGCGAAACAAGCGGCTGCTACTGTAGACTCTACGATTTGCCCAAGATAATTATTCGTCTCTAACCTGCTGCTTCAACAACTGCGCCCGGTTGTTGATACTGGCTGCGACGTCTGGGTGGTCAGGGTCCAGCGTCTTCTCCCCAATCTTAATAGCACGGAGATAGAGAGGGTCGGCCTCTTCAAACTCGCCCTGGACATCAACAAGTGGGTTGCTGTGAGATGGTGGTCCAACATAAACGAAAACAATCCAGCAACAAATGGAATTCCCAGACAATAATTAGACTTTTACTTGATTTATCAACAACCCCCGCAGTGGGTTGGTGTAAGGCAGTGGTCCACCTTGAACTCGAAATGAATCACAACTTCGAAGTTACGCCAATTGTTGGGATACTATTCGAAACGCACCTGACTCTCCAACAACCCCGCAAGGTTGTTGAGGTCCGTGGCGACGTCAGGGTGGCACGCGCCTAGGACCCTATCATGAATAGCTAGCGCGTGCTTGTACAAAGGCTCGGCCTCTTCATACCTCCCCTGGATTGTGACGAAAAAGTGCGGAACGGATGTGGCGAAGGCGAGAAAGTCGGAAGAACCAACTGCTACACCGCCTTTTCAGGACCCGAGGCTTTCGGTCCGATACCTGAAAAAAAGAGGTATCACCTCGTCGTACAAAACCCGGCTTAATTAACAAGCGTGCGCGGGCAAACAAGAAAGCCGCGAGATATGTCCTTGTTGTGCGTGCCCAACGAGCACGTGGAGGCACTAAAATGTCAACAATACGCACCACTACTTAAGATCTTGTCAGTTAAGAAATGAGGCTGCATTTTATCAAAAATTAAGAACTTGACCAAGAACAGGAACCTGCGAATGATGTGCAAAAGCGGCGACTACGTAAAGTTGTGCCCAACACGTGGCGGATGCAAGCCTGCGAACGCGCGCGGGGGGTACATTCTGCTCTCAGTAAGTTTAGCTTTCTTGACAAAAGTTTGGTGTACACGCTATTTCCCAAATTTTGTATAGATTGCCCGGGTTCTTTGTAATAATTCATATGAGGCAGGAGGTTGGCCTAGAACATACATCCACACATGTTCTGAGGGGAAGCCGAGCTGAAGATATACAACAAAGAACGACGGAAATAAATTGGAACGCCCCATCGATTAATGACATACCTGCTCTCGTTTATATCTCCCGATCTACTGGATGTACTTAAATCACTCTCTAGTCTAAATGGTGTTGTTCAACAGTCAGTTACAAGGGGGGGGGGGCGCAGGAAAGCAGCCGCTAGGATCTCCCGTACTATTCGAAGCGACCACCATGTCCGTCGTAATGTACACGTATAAGACGTATTGTCTTCCGGAATACCAATCACTATCGAAGGAGGGAGACGCGCTAGTCAACGAAGCGAAGCAAAGGAACCCCTGAAAAAGAAGAGAGAAAAGGGAACGAGAACACAACAATCAAAAGAAGAAGGATGGGAAAGAGAGAACGAAAAAAATAAGGAGAAACAAAAAAAACGTTCTTGGCGAGAATCGAACCCCAGCCGCGCGGGTGCGCGCAGGTAAAGAGCCATCACCCGTGGAATTCGAATTAAATAAAAAGAGGTAAGTAGAGAGAGAGAGGGAGAGAGAGAGAGAGAGAGAGAGAGAGAGAGAGAGAGAGAGAGAGAGCGCGAGGAGAGAGGACAGCCATACGCCACACAGAGCTAGGCCAGATGGCCAATATAACAGTCGGAGATTTATGTCGTGCACCCCAGGTATTGGTGCGTACCAAGGCGTCGCAATGAGAACAGGTGCTCGGTTTGGGGCGGCCGGTAAGCTGCGGCCCTCACGCCAAATGAGAGTGTAGTGGTTCGTGACGGCTGGCTGGCGCGGCGTGGGATCGGGCACGCACAGGCACCAGCAGCGTGCGGCTCAGGGAATCGTATACATGTATGCAGGAGCTTTTCTCGCTGCTCGACCATGGGGCTCCGCTGAGCCGTTTTCGCTTCAACTTTCTTAAAGCGAAAAAGTACGTGTCAAGCGATTTAAATCTCAGGTGTGGCTGCTCAATCAAATAACGAGTCCGTGCACTGGGTTCCCTGTTCCATGTTACTGCGCGAGAGCCCCGACGTCACAAACACACCGAATTGTGTTGGAATGGCCATCCACAACATGTTTCAAGGAAAGTTCTTCGACTCTGACCTGAGCTCTTAACAACCCCGCCCGGTTGCTGATCGATTTTGCTGTATCTGGGTGGTCAGGGCCCAGGGTCTTGTCCGCAATCTCAACAGCTCGGAGATACAGAGAATCCGCCTCTTCAAACTGGCCCTGCGGATATTTACATTGGTGCGCACGGGTACGACCATTAGAGCAGACGAATTTTAAGAAAATACGGGCAATTGTTGGGCGCCATCCCAACAAACCATGCCTTGTCCTGCGGTCGCGACCTGTTTGTGGGCTCTTTCGTCAAAAAGCACTGTCAACCCTCAGACCTATGGTCTACACCAGACGTCATATATCTGATGTGTTACACCCCCAAACGGCCTGCTAATTTCGACGCACACTGCTGAATATTAGTCGACATTTCCAACGTCACCTCTTTTTTCAATACACCAGCAAGGTTGGACAGTGCCGTCCCGAGGACAAGCGCGGCAACATCCCACTCCATGCTGTCCTGCCCGTGTGCAAGGTCAGCCTCAAGCTTTACCATCTCACGGCGACTAACTTCCTGCACGAACACACGGACGAGGGAGATACATTCAGCGCCAAGAGACTCCTCCGCTTGGACCACAACAAATCTCTTTGGTTGTACAATAAAGCGGAACACATGCTGCATTCAGAAAAGCGAACGCAGAAGCTCGCGCCACTCACACCGATGTTTATGGAAGCAAAATCTTTGACAAAAATGTTGAAAGTTTGAGCAAGATTTTGGTGTGAATTTTCAGCAACTGAAGATATTCGTACCGGATGCTATGGGGAAAATATCTTGTTCGATCGAATGTTCCACATGCGGTGGAAATTGGTCTCTGGGGTTGTCAAACGATTTATGCTGGACAAACCACCAATGCGCCATGAAACATGAACGTATTTAGCGAGCTCGAAAAAGGCCCCGAGCAAACCAGCAAGCCACTGGTTTTGATATTTTTGGTCGTCGATGCATAGCGAAGGCTCCCCAGGCGTACAAACACAGTTTTTGGGGTAGCGCAACGGTGCATTTCCACGCCCCAACGGGCAAAAACCAGCAAAAACCAGCGGGCTGAGAGACAACACTACATCGCAATCCAGTTCTCGCCCGCTGGACCACGAATTGACGTGAAACCTTCTTGGCTGTAATCTCCACAAACGTATCTCAGGTGAGCGTGAGTTGGCAGTGAGCTTCTTCAATCGGGAGTAAAACGCATCGCCGTGTACTCGAAGACTCCGAACGTGAAAAATCCGGCCTCTTTTAACTACTTGAGTACAGAGTACTTGTTCACCCGCCTCAAAAATAGAACCCACAGCACCCGCGTGTACACGGCGATGCGCCGATTGAAGAAGCTCACTGCCAACCCACGCCCACCCGGATGAGATATACGTTATATGGAGGTGACAGCCAAGAAGGTTTCACTTGAACACGTGGTCTACCGGGCGAGAGCTGGACTGCGACGTGTTGTCTCCTCACGGTCGGCGTTTTTTTTTCATTTTGGAGGCGCAACGATGCTTTCCCAAGCCACCCTGTCCAAATGCTTCTTTTCCGCTCGACTGACGAGCTCCTGCCATATAAAAGCGGGTGATATGTTGACACGAGGACCATAGGGTTGTCCGGAGCCGTTTACAATCTCGTAACGTTCAGTGTTCAGGGCGCAGTGGTCGGTGTTGATGACAGGAGTCTGCAAGGAAAATAATCTCGCCGCCTCCAGACAAGACTTTTGCGAGCTGCCAGCAGATCAAATCTTGGCCAAACAGTTGGTCCAAAGATAAGGTTTTGGGCGGAAATCAAATCTTGGGCCCTTCTTCAAAGATTTGCTCCCATAAAAAGTGAAAAAATAATCTTGAGCAAACTTTCAAGATTTTGGTAAAGATTTTGCTTCCATAAACATCGGTGTCAGGAAGTTCGCTTACTTGGCGCATCAATTCCCGAGCCTCTTCGTAGTGCCCAGCGGTGTGCAGCAGTGAAGATAGAGCACGTTTAGTTGAACACCAGTCGTCTCTGGACAGCTGTGTCATTCGCTCAAGCATCCCTGGCTCCATGTTCTTGAAGAGGTGACTAGGCCTCATATCCGCTGTGACTCTGAGAGCACGGGACCACTCGTAGATCTCGTGTTGGCCGTCTTTCAGGCAGTGGAACGGTCGGAGATGTAGCTGGATCTCACAAATATGCTCTGCAATTATCACAAACATTTTCACGTCCCTGTAACCGTTTCTCCCGTAGTTGCGTATGAACCCATTGGAAACGCGCAGGACATTGCCCCCCTGGATTTACAGGCAAGCAGTACAGTTTCGGAATAGCACATAAAACGGGTAGCGACCGCACGAGCGTTTCGAAACATTGTCATGTCGGTGCACATCGGCAGAAGAACTCGAGATCATCACACATACTGAGAGAATTGAATGCACTTGGATCGGGTTCCTCAACGACAACGTACCAATTGAGGACACAGCAAAAAACTACGACTAGCGAGGACCTTGAGTGTACCCTGAATAACCATGCCAGCACTTACCGGTACCTGGCCAACTTTTAAGGTGAGCGCCTCGAACACTTGTGCAACATCGCGGGGCGTGTCACAGATCACAGTCCCTCGGGCCAAGTCCGTCACATACCGGATGCCACCCCAATTGTTGGCCTTGCGCGTCGTGCTTTTCAAGGTCTTGACGTCTGCCAGAATCACCTCCCGCCCAGGTGTTCCAAGGGGAGCCACCGACTCAAGCAGCCCGTCCAGGCAAAGCTTGGCGTGTTCAGCTTGCAGAAGATAGTCTTCAAAGGACCCTGTCTCCATCGGCTGCACAAGGTCGCCTTCCGGCTGCTTTTCATGGATCCGAAGTAGCTCATCAAACCCTTCATCCCGCCGTAGGTCGAAATAAAGGCCGGTGGAAATCCTCTCGTACTTTCGGACCGCGTCGACCTGGAGGTACGTGACCAGGTTCATCTTGGCGCTGCGCTCGATGCTGTCAGGAAGCTCCTTCAAGTCAGACGCCAGCTGCAAGATATTTTTTATGTCCGACCCTGTAGGATCCATCTGAGTGTTGGGGCGAAGGGCAGCGATTGGTCGTCTTTATAGCACCCGGCTGGCAAAGCTAGAGGAGAAAGAACGACTCGGTACACATGTCGGCGATGATTTTCAAGTCGTCGTGAGTTCGTATGAAACAAACTTAATGGTGCTTTTCAGTAAAAAAAAAAAAAAAAATGGGCGTGTCAGCCAAGCTATATGTAGTGCGCCACCAAACCGCGCGAAAACATTCAGCCACGGCAACACTCAATGAGCTTGCGAGCACATTCGTCATACAGTGACGAGCACATACATATAGTACAGGAGTGGCGAGCACATATAGCACGTTCGTCATACAGTGACGGCACGCTCGTAGAAATACCTATTCTGATCAAGCCGTAGCTGATGTGAGGTGTATATTTTGTTTCATCATTTTTTATTTCTGGCAAAGGATATTAGACTGTTTCGAACTCGTCAAAAAATCAGATTTAAGGATTAAGATTTAAGGTTAAGCCGGCATTCTGCGGACTTTCCCGATAGTCCCTTAGTTCTAAAGAGTCAGCAGTCTCAGATTTAGGAACAAGAGACGATTGGGCTTGTTAAATCTGAGAGCTCGTTCACCTTTTCAGATTTAGGGTTATATTTATAGGCGAAGAGAACATCATGCGTCGTGTACGAAGTCCACGTCTCTAGCCAAACGGTGATGGAAGATAGATGCTCGCGACTCTCAGCAGTCGTAGCAAGCGGCACGAGCCACTGCCCGCGTTGCATTTGCGGAGTTTGGCGCGCAAAACAACACGCGCAAGAGAGGGGGAAGGGATTGCGGATGAGGTCGAGGGAGTCACCGCGTGGTAACCCGCACAGGCAGCAGCCGGCCGCGCCCCAGCCGAAGGCAAAGAAGCCAAGGCAGAGCAAGAAGTGGAATACCCACTCTGCCCCGTGCTGGCGCAACATGGAGAGAGTTTTGTTGTGTGTCTCTCTCTCGTGAGGGCGGGAGCGGTGTGCACAGACACGCTCTGTTCACCCCGTCTGCATCTCTCTCTAGACGCAAGCCGTAGCGAGTGCACCCCCCCCACACACACAGAAAGTCAACACTACCGACAAGAATAATTGCTGTTTCGATGCTTGGGTGGTGCCGCGAGTACTACTGCCGCTATCGCTCGCTGCTGGTAGAGGGCTAACAAAAAATACCAACCAAAAAAAAAGGTCCGGCCTGACGTCATGTTTTGTCTTTACTTGACAGGAATTTTACAGGAAAGGCTGTTCGAGGCTCTTATTCCTAAATCTTAATCCTTAAATTTGAATTGTGCGAGCGCCACTTCGAAACTCCTTATTGTAATGCATATTTTTTTTATTTCCTCATTTCTTACTTCTAGCCAACTTAGGAATTTCGTTCGTTTATTCATGACACTAATTGTGACTTCTTGTCGAATCCTTTAGAAGGGACACTCGTCATCCGAATTAGGGATCTGCTCTAACCTGACCTACGAGCGGTACCTTGGATTGTTTTAGTACGCTGCAGCGCACTTCTTCGTTGTCCGACATTTGTCTCTGCCTATATAGTCCTGAATCACCTCGCCTAAGTGTCTCGCGTGTGCGAATGCCTTTTTCCAGTCGTTGCTTCCGCATCGTGTATCACAACATTCATCGAATTTATGTATTAGACTACTAGCAAGTTCACCGGTGTGCTACACGATGACCGTATGTACTGTGTCACACCTGCGTCCCTGCCGTGTGTCAAGAGAAAAAAATTGTTGTTCTTGCACCTCTCGAACATGCAGTCGCTCGGCAATATACGCTGCCTATTCCACCAATGAGTATCATCTCCTCGCCGATATTTCCTAGCGCCATTGGGTTCACCGCATGCACCTCCTTACCGGTGATTACTACAGCAGCAGTAGTTTTGAGGCTCTAAACAATCTTGTGCAGATTGAGCTCGAGTAAGCCCATGCGGCAGCATCAGAGAAGCGACGGCTACGCGAATGTAGCTGATGTCCTGAGGTTTCAATATCTTGCCTAACATGGGGCCCAAGGAGATCGTGCCCCATTTTAAATTGCGATGGGGCGTTAGTTTGCTTAGTGAAAAAACGAAAGAGGCGAAAAAACAGGGTTGCACCGCTCGCTGTATAACGGTCGTTTTTTTTTTTTCGACCACGTCATTTGTTGCCCAAATAGGGAGCACAAAACACAACATGCCTCCTCGTATTTTTTGGTATTCCGCTTATTTCCCTTAGCCGCCTAAGAGTGTGCGACCTTAAAGACGCTCGGCTTAAGGCAACTCCCCGCTTAAAAAAAGCACAAATTGCCCCGCGGATAATGAATCACGAGAGGGGGTAGTATTTGTACCACTCGGGGCCCCCCGCAAATCGCTGGCAGATCACAGATCACCGATCGACTTCACCGAGAGCGGTCTGCTGCTGCTGCCGCTACTGCATGCGGGTATGATAGATTCCTCTCGTCTGCTGGCGATTCGTCTGCCTCCAGGACGACGACATGTTATGGCGGGGGGTGGAGTGTCACTACTATAAGTGGTTCAACAACTCTACGTAACAACTTGGTTACATACTATGTTCGACTTTTCAACCACCTGCCACGCTGTGATGGTCAGGTTTTTGGTGTTCTCGTTTCGTGCTGTACATTAGATAGTATCCCTTCTGCAACGGCGCGTCTTGTGACGTAGGAGTACATGTTACGCCTTCATTGACCCCGGGGACGGTGAGTTATCGTTTCCGGAATCTTAAGGTGTGCGTCTTTAAGGTTGGGCCGCTTTTCCCACGTTTGAATTGGGGGGAGGGATTGCTGGAGAGAGCCCGAAGCGACACAAGTCCCGAAAAATGCCTTTCGTTGTGTCGGCAAAAATCACCGCACGCACGCATGCATGCGGTACCGTAAGTGAAACAAGATGCCACGGGTACCGAAGATACCGCCCCCCCCACAGAATAACACCCCCGGTGATGACATTTTCAAGTGCAGAGAAAAAAACGCCCGTATACCACCCGGGTACCGAAGATAACACCCCCCCCCCTGAGGTTACGCCGTGTAAGGCGTGGGCATTGATGATTGCGTTGAGGCAGTGGTCGGGTTTGCGGGCATTTTTCCCCTTCTTTTTTTGTGCTTGTGCCTTGTACGCACAGGGATTTTGAATTACCCAGATTGAGACGGATACCTACCGGTAATTACGCAAATCAGCTTTTTTGGCAGTAATTACCGGTAATTACCGCAACCTTCCGAGGATGAAAACATTATAACTCCCGGGCTTTCTCGCCCGTGATTTGGTACATAGCCTCTGTAGTGTACATAGGCGCCATCATGCATATATATCTGGATATTCTCTTGTGTGCCACACCAAGTGTTGATGGTACATATTTCATGATGATGCAATGACGAGCTATTTTTTGCTCTAAGACTTTCTTTTCAACGAGGGGTTGATTGATGCACATGCCCGCGGGTTCTTACATGCCCGCGGGTTTCATGTGAAGCATGCATAGACACCTCCCCATGTAATTATGTACCTCCACATATTTCATAGTACCTCCGGCAGAACTGCAGCAATATTTGTTCGCAGGCAGTAATAACATCCCCCCTTCTTATCACTCCCCCTGCAGATAGATGCTACAGAGCAGCAGTCATCGCAGGCAGTGATATCACACGCCTCCGCCATCACCCCCCCTTGTTATCACCCCCATTGCACACGCCGCTAACAGCAGCAGTCCTCGCAGGCAGGGATAATCACCCCTTGTTATCACCCCCCTTCGATGGCCCTCACGGCATGCACTTTATCACCGGGGGACAATAGATACCACCCCCCCCCACAGAAAAACCACCCCTCTGGTGATAATATTTTCAGACGCAAAAAGTTATCACCAGGGGGGTGGTATCTTGTGTCACTTACGGCAGCGAGGGTCGGCCATGGAGCGTTCGAGGTCTTTGGAGACGGGGTCTCAGGCTAAGCACCTCTTATAAGACCCTCTTGGAGGAACATAGTCGGAGCACATCAGCAGCAGCAGTGCACAGTAGCTTTCGATCTGGAGATTTTTTGTGTTTTCTCTCATTCTGGTCGGGGTTTTTGCTTCACGAAAAAAGAAACTGGCTCACACCGTGTGAACCAGCCAAAACAGCACACACGCGAAGATACCCAGGATACTTCCCTTTAAGAAAACGGGGCTCAACACAGCCAGACTCGTTGCGCCAGACCAAATATCGCAAAACCGCACGCATGCCCTATTGTACTGATTTCAAGCGCAAGTAGTCTTTCTTCGAAACATGTGCGTATGTGGGCCTGTGCCTGTGTGATACACATGATGACCTTGTGACGATAGAGCGCCTTGTGGGCAGCGGGGAGGGGTGTGCCAAAAAGTGGTTCGGCGTGACACAAGCAAAATCACGTTGGGCGGGAAAAAAATATTTAAAGCACATGTGGTGCACCGATTCAAATGGTCCTCCCCTTACCCACAAGGCTTTTCAAACAAACCTAAGCACATGCTCCGACAGCTCTATTCACGGAGATTCCTCGAAGTCCGTGCTACACACCCATATTTACACTACGGAGAGAAAAGGAGGCGCACAACAAAAAGAAACTGCATATGGGCCAAACAAGTCAACTTGTCAGGCACTGTGCTGAACTTCGCCGGGGTTACAGTATGCATCCTTGTCTCGCAAACTCGTGACCTCTTCGCGTGTTTGTCGCTGGCCACCACGTCGGAGGGTCTCCCGGAATATCTCGATTTCTGTCGGCCCGGAATAATTCGATTTCTGTCGGCCGTCTACTGCGTTTGAACACAGATCGTAAAAAAACTTGTTGCCTGAGGTCAGGTACCGGAGCTATGTTGTGTAGCATCACAAGGCGTACGCCACAATTGACCTGCCTCCCCACAGCGGGGGAGCGATGCCACAAAGCCCTGCAGCTTGGTCACACACTTGAGTCCAAGAGCCGAAGGAATTGATGCAAAAGAAAGACCCGGTATACCACTTGTGCGGATTAAAAAGGTGGGTGCACAACCACCAGCCTGACGTGGACAGGCGGCGGGGCGGCGCACGAGCCGTTTCAAAAAACAATTCTAGTGGTGTTTCATGTGATCCGCGTAGGGCGCAACACGCTCAACACGTAACTACAACAAAAAAGTGTTGTAATTGAAGCAAGCGGAAATTGGCGCGCTGACGCCGCACCGGATGCTACGTTGTTGCGTCACTCGTTTGTATCATCATGGCGTACGTCACTATACTAGCTCGCTGTGATGCTCGCACACGATGCCACCAAGCCCTGCGACTGTGTCTCAGCACGTTGGCGGAAAGTTTGCTGCAAAACACCAATTCCATCACAACAGGTAACGGTATACAAATAGGCGACGAAATACACAACGCAGGCGGAAAAACAACAACGAGGGACGGTAAACAAACCAGCCCGGCGTCAAGACAGCCCCTGTCAAACTTGTGATCACTAGCCAGCGGCAGTAAGAACGACGTTTGTGTAGCTTCACAAATTATCACACGGCTCACGCCTCAAAATAATCCGGCACGCTGCGACGCGCGGAGGACGCCACAGAGCAATGTCTGATGTAACACGAAATCATGTTGATCACGGTTTGCACAGTCAAGAAGACAGTTTTGCGACAAAATCCCACGACGAAAATTGCAAAAAAAAAGGTAGGACGGCAAACAAGCCAGCTTGTCAGGCCACGCGCGGAACTTCACAGGGAATGCACAAACGTTCCTGCCTGGCGAATCGTCGGCTGCGTGCCAAGTGTAAACGACGATCGCGGTAAAACAAGGGCAGACTTAGCGGGTTGGGTTGGGGTTGGGGGTTGAGTAGGGTTGGGTAGAGTTGGGTAGAGTTGGGTAGAGTTGGGAAGGGTGCTGTTTCTCTTGTGAAGAAAGATATAGTAGCTGTCGCTAAAACGAGCGACAGCTGATAGATGTAACTGTCGTCAGACGTGTGCGTCCGCGGGAGGTGGAAGAGACCCTTTCTTCTTCTTTTTCTCTTTGCAATTCACGTCATTGGTTACCCGCGACGGCGCTGAAGACGCCCATGTCCGTGTACTTGACCCTCGTACTCTGTGCTAACTCCCCAAGTCTAACCTCTTCCTGCAGCCTAGCCTTCATCGTCGGCGAATTTCCAAGGTTACCAATCCTGTCGAAACTCATGGGCTCTACCATGAGGTCCACAAGTCTCTTCGCCCTACTGAGACAGACGAAAGTAAGCCCCGTGCAGGCCTCCTTGGGCCCCAAGTCAATGACGGCCTTGGCTAAAGTCTGCCCCTGGGACTTGTGCATCGTAATTGC